CAAAGATATGGGAAAGGGGGGGGGGGATACATTTTCTATCTTGTTTAAAAAAACAACAACCAAAAACAAGTCAACGTTTTTGTGACACACCCATATAAAGATTCAATAATATACACATGCGATTCGTTCACGAAACGAATAAATAACTGCTCGTAAGCTCTACCTGAAAGGAGACAAATCAATGGAGAGATTTTTGGCTTTGCCTCATCGGCATTTCCCTATAGACCCCTCGATCGAGGTAACCACCGTCATTGCTGTTTGTTTGTAAATTTTTATGAGTCACGTTCTTTGTCAGAGGCTTTGCAGTCGACTTAGCAGAGTCTTTACGACTCGAGTCGACTTTGACCCAGAGAGTGTGCGTTGCTGCATTGGATATTGGTTGGACGGTAACCTTTTGCGGGCAGGCTGAACTGAATCTGTGACAAAATTCTTGTTTTCGGGGTGTAACAGCCTGTGGCAAAGCAGGGAAAATTCCAGATTTCTTCTTCTTCTTCTTCTTCTTCGTCTTCGTCTTCGTCTTCGTCTTCGTCTTCGTCTTCGTCTTCGTCTTCTTCGTCTTCTTCTTCTTCTTCTTCTTCTTCTTCTTCTTCTTCTTCTTCTTCTTCTTCTCGATCGCATCACACTTGCTGACCGGTATCTCTTGTGCCTTCCTGCTTAGTTCCTCTACTGGCCCGTACAGCTGTAGTTTTAATGGGGCTAGCCACGTTTCATGGCTAAGGTTTTAAGTGTCCCGCACAGCCAAAGGACGTGTTCCACAGTTTGATCTGCTTCCCCACACCGGCATTTTGGTGATTATACACGTTTTTAAAACATTTGAAGATTTATATGTGGTGTTGCATTCTTATTCTGAAGATAATCACTTTGCGTTTCTTTCGAAATTTTTTCGTTCAGATCAATGTTGAACCGCAAAGTCCCCGTAATAGCCAAAGAAAAAATGTTGTATAAAAGAAATGAAAACCCCCGAGAGAAAAAAGGATCAAAATAATCAATGGCACGACGTCACCTGCAATAATTATATACAGTATTTATTAATTTTGTTATTCTCACGAAAGGCATCAAATTAAATGCCAAATCAGCATTTTGAAACCTTCTACCAGCTATTTCTTTGAGATATCCACATTATTTATTTTTCATCGATTTCGTTAACAAAGCCTTGCTTCGACTTGTGCAGTGAAAAGATAATCCCTATAGCCCTTTGAAAATTGAGTCAGAAAAGGTTTTTAGAGGATTAACCACTGAAAACATTTGGGTTAACAGGGGGCCGAGTATTGACCAGGGGAAGTTGGAAACGTATTATGCGTGTCGTGGGCGGGGGAGGGGGGGGGCGGGGTGGAGATATGAATCACTTTGAGAGAAGGGAACAGGACGGGGCGAGGGAGTTGCAAACAAACTTACTGAAACTGTAACACAGACTTCGAGGGACATTAGAAATAGCCAAAAAGAAGCACACATATCACATAAATGTAAACGGTACCCTGTAAACCCCATTTACTACGTGGAAGCTTCTCTTGAACGTCGGACTAAGTGAACAAAAGTTGTTTTTTTAAAGTTCCCTTTCCTATAATTTATTTTGAACATTGACGTCACAAATATGAAATTAATTAAGAACGCACGCGCTTGCATTTGATGTTCACTAATTTACTGTAAACA